CCAAAGCTATAACGTTGAACGAGGAATTTTTAATAAAAATTTAGAAATGGTTATTTGAATCGTGATGGGATTAGGGTAGGTTAGTGCTAAGGGTAGGTTGATCCGTGCTAATTTTCTTTATATTGTAATAGATATAGTAATTATACCGAATCTGTCAATCATTCAGAAACGAAATTTCGGTTTTCTGTGAGATGAGGAATTTCTAGTCATCATAAGTTATTATAGTCGTTAAGAAATTAGAAATTAGGAGAAAATTGATCCGTATTATTTTCGTTTGTATTGTGTTAATTATACTGTGTCTGTCAAGTATCTAGGATACCTAGGAATCCTAGGAATATAGAATATCTAGGAATTTTGGTTATTTGTGAAATAATAAGTTAGGATTCGCTTTAGTCCTTCATTGTCATCGAGAATATTATATTAGGGGGTTGATTAATTGTAAGTAGAGTGTTAAATGTGGATTGATTCCTTGTAATCTTTTTACTGTAGGACAATTTCTTGTAATCCTGGTAATCGACGTAATGCCATTGAGTAAAAAGAAAATAGAGAAAGAAATATAGGTGATATGACTAAAACGAGAACCAAAATTGACTTTGCCAAAAGAGACTACGTATCTTCATTAACAGCAAAAATAAGTCTGAACCCCCTTTGGATGGATTTAATATATTTAAAATTAGTATTGAAATAGATAAAGAAATAAAACAGATGGAAAAGGTAAAACAGATAAATTCGTGTCTCCACTCAGACGTGAGTCGAAATGTCTATAGACAAATTGACACCTTGACAACTCTTTGTGTGTTTAAACCATCAATTTTATTTTTATACTTCCACGATACGAATTTTTATTTTTATTGATAAGCGTTTGCAAAATTTGAGTTAAAGAACAATCGTGTAACTCGATGGCAGATTTTGATAAGTATCATGGAATTCATTTTAATTTTTTAAAGTAAAGTAGTGGAAGTATTAGATATAAGTGTAAAGAAATTAATTTATTTACTAAATATAAAAATATATTATATTAACAAGAAATTAATATATGTAATATTGTAATACGTAATCATGTCAAGATGTTGAAAAATTTTAGATTATTCTTTAATTTGATTGCAAAACATACAATTTACAAATTTATTGAAGAAAGCTGAAAGTAGTAAAAGTGAATGTTATATGTTCTAAAATATTTTGTAAGTTTTAAGCGAATTTTGATAAGAATTTATGCTCAAACCTTTAAAGAACACCATTTCAAAAATGATAATAAATATATGACATGCAGTATTTTTAAACAATTTAAAGCAACAGATATAACGAATTTAAATAAGATAAAAGCATATACTTATCGTGGGATCAATATACAAAGATTTTTTAAATTTTCAAATCTGTAAAGTGTAACTCTTTTATTTACATATTAATGTGGAAACTTAGTATCAACTTAAACAATTTAAAATTTAAAATGATGAATATGTAATAATCGTATGATTATCGACAGAATATTTACATTACCAATTATTATTGTTGAATTAATATTCTAAAATTATGGATCACTATTATTATTAATTATATACTAAAATATTGTTCTCAATGAATATTCAAAGCACCAAGTAGTTGAAACATTATTAACAATCATGAATACGTAATTTTACATTTCCGTTTCATATAAATCTATTTTATTTAAATACCTCTAATCCTCGAATACAGGCTACATCAATCATATTTGTCGATTAAAGAAGTCAGTCGATATTAATTAACTACTATTAATTAATCAATTTTATATTATCAGCGTTATTTAATACGAAAATAAGTTGCCTTATAGCAATGAGATACAGCAGGGTAATGAAATAAGTATATCATGTATGGAATTTACTGTGTATCAATAACAAATGTAGCTTGCTGATTCATTAATTAGCGATTTATTAGAACAATAACGATTTTCATAATAATCAAGGTGCATAAAACGCGGCTAACGAATGACATTCATCGATGAAATGTGATTCTGGTAGAGGAGCCTGATTAAAGCTCAACATCACATTTATCCATTCTTATTTAAATTACACGATAATCGTCCAGATCGAAAATGAACAACTCAGCAGTTTATTGTTAAACCGAGAAATTTAATTTTTGGAAAATGTTTCAACGCAAAATCCATTTAGTTGTCTCTTTCGAGAACAAAAAAGGACTAAAATTCATTGGATATATAGGAAAAATAAATATTTTTTGAATTTTATTGTAAAAGCTGCTGTAGAGATAAAGTTTTAGTATATTTTCTAGAAAATATAGTACTCTCCACTATTTCTTTGATTTTCAAATAAAATTCTTCTATCAACAAGTCTAAGTTTAGGAAGAAAATGAATATAACTCAATCCATAACCATAAATTTGAATACTATTATTTTAAATTATTAATTCGTTAATTATTTTCAAATAAAATTCTTTTATCAGTAAATATAAGTTCAAGAAGAAAATGAATGTAACTCAATGCATAACTATAAATTTTAAAATTATTATTCTACATTATTAACTCGTTAATTATTTTCAAATAAAATCCTTCTATCAATAAGCCTAAGTTCATCAGGGAAATGAATATAACTCTATCGATAACCATAAACTTTAATACTATTATTTTAAATTATTAATTCGTCAATTAGTCTTCCAATTAGCAAAGATCTTCTGCAGGAAAAATAGCAATATCCATCACCTCTTTGATCGTCAAATACAATTCTTTGATCAGTAAACAAAAGTGCAGCAGGAAAATATAAAGTAATCGAATTCATAACCACAAACTTTATATATAGCTCTCTGTGATTAATTCGTTTGTTAATTACTCGCTTTGTCAAAGCAAAACATAATTTCCAACTGTTCATTTTTGCCTTTTAATGTATATATAATTTCTTCGAATTAAACGTAATTTCAGTTTTCCATCTACCAGTGGTCATCGTTAAAATCATTGTTTAAACAGCTGCTTATGAAATATTTATTCTCCTTGATATTCATTATCAGGAAATTCATATAACAAATTTTCCTAGCCTTTATTCAATAGTAAAAGATATTTTTCACCCTTTGGATATCGACATATGACTATTACCACAAAATTTACCAAGAATTACACAAATTATATACTACTTCATCTTATACTACATATTAAAATACTACATTCACGTTTCAAATTTTCCTTTACATTACGCAGTGTAAATTAAACTATCCTATATTTAAGAAACAATTCAGAAACGAGACACAGGCTTCCACATTTTGCAACTTTACAAACTCTCAAAATTTCTTTAGTCATAAATTTCAGAAAATCGGCCGAAACAACGATATTTCGATCACGACGGAACCCCATAAACACCCCTTTGCCACCGACTCGTCTAAAATTGGAGAAACCTAAAATTCCATTCGCGATAATATCGTTTACATCGAGATATTCGATGTAAGGAGTAAACGACATCGAAGCGAGCGAAGGGTGCAACAATGGAGGGTTGCTCGTGCTGGAAAAAGGAGGAGGGAGGGAATAATAAATAAAAATGTAAGAAAAGGGGAGCGTGAATAATTGGAAAGGACGAGCTTAGTGGTGCATAGGCCGGCGCATGGAGCAACCCTTTCAGCTTGGCGGCGAGCGAGCGACTGCTGGCTCGCGTCTTAACTCGTGCGATTCCGCGGACGCTCGGGAACGCCGGCGCCTCTGGGCGTCGCGACGGCGGGCGTCCAGGGCTGGCAGGCTGGCAGGCAGGCAAAGGCAGGCGTCCCTTCGCGCTCTCCCCGCCAGACGAGTTCCGACTCTACGCTCGGCCGGACGTGACGTAACGCGCGCAGCGTGGAGAGCGTAGAGAACGTCGTCGCCGTCGTTCTAGTCGTCGTCGACGTAGCCGTCGTCGTTGCCGTTCCTATCAACCCTCTCTCTCCCCCTCTTACACACACACACACATACACACAGCCACACACACACACGCACACACACAGGCGCCGTCTCCGTCTCTCCCCTCGCGGCCCCAAAACACCTGCGTTCTCGTGCACGCCGAGGTACCCCGAGCCGTCCGCGACTCGGTGACGTTTCCTCGTCGCAGATCAGTCGAGTGTCAACGATATCAGCCGCCACGACGCGCCTCCGTCCTACCCGCTCGAGTGTAGACGCGCCACGCACGCAGCACCGCGTGCGTCCACGCACGCCACTGCGTTACGGTGTCGACGCTCGTAAACTCACGCCAACTAACGGAGTATTATTTGTTACCGAGGCGAGGATAGTGCAAGTGAGCGAGGAAGAAGAGAGAGTATAATAGTTGATACGGACCAGTGAAGGCAAGCTTCGCGAGTGAGACGGGATTCGAGAGAAGAGGAGATACCAGTTTCCGGTGGTGGTTCGTTCGAAAGCGATCAGAAAGCACCGAGATCACGTGTGACACTTGCTCGGGAACCTGTGTTGCGTCCGTTGCGTTACGCCGTTACGGATCGAGGGATCCTTCATCGACATTGCCACACGAATCGCGGGAACAGTGGTCGCGCGAGGAGAGAGAGAATTTTCGTGTTTAGTCAGGGAGTAGAACCGGTAACGGTGTCGCCGGTGGATAGCGAAAGGTGCAACGCGAAGAGTTCGCGAAACGGAAAAGTTTCGAGGGAAGTAAACTCGAGGGAAGCGGAACGAGGTCCTGAAACGCAAGCAGATGTCAAGAGATATCGGTAGACCAGAGGAGGGTCGCGCGACGATGTAAAGTAATGTCGCGAGGGAGAAGAGTTGCCGCGATTCTGGTGACGTCGCGATAGATAGATCGCAGACGGTGGTATGCAGTGACTTCTCGATCACCATCGACGAACAGACGTGTGCCGAGCCGGTTCAAGATATCGAATAATGCCACGGGCCGTCAGCGTCAGCGAGTGATCCACGGTAGCCGCGATCGTCGCCCGTCGATATCCTCGATCCCCGCGCGCACCCCGCTCTCTTTCCATCGCACGATCCACGACAGTCTCGTGTACCCAACCTGGGTGTGATCGTCAGCCAGGAGAGCAACCGGTGTAACGTTCGTGGTGCATTCTAGTCGGGTGCCGCGTACCGGTAATCCTTGCTTGGATCACGTGACGGATCGCTGACAGGAGACAGCTCGCCACGGCGAAGCCGGAACGTCGCGAAGATGCTGACCATGTCGACTCTGATGATGCCCACTACGATGACCACCATGACGAATCCTGGCCCTATACCGGCGCACAGCATGCCGCAGAAGATAGAACCGCCTAAGCTGACCGCAGCAGCTACGCTCACCCACACGGCAACAGCCGGCAACAAATCAGGTACCGCTTTATACTACAGATTTATGGCTTTGCACTATCATTCGAGCGCGGCTCTAAGATAAATTTAACCGGTACATTGTGCCGCCGAGTATGCTCCGTTGCTCCTGTCAATCCCTGAACGATATACGTCTCTGGAGTTACGCTCCCGCCGTTAGGACGCTCGCGCGACCGGTATCCTTGCCTGGTTTGCGCTCTTTTAAACCGCTCAACGCCCATCGATCAAATTATCCCATTCGAGCAAGGAGACGCCGGTTAGACGTGCTTCACCGGGGCCGATAAACGCCGAATCCCCTATTCGATTACGCTTCCTCGTTCAGAGGGGGTATCCTGCGTGGTCCGTCCGCGACGGATCCAGCAGGAGTCCAAGGGCGGTGAAGGGGCACGAAAAATGGTCTATAGTTACAGTGGTCTAGTCGCGTGTCTCCTTCTCGAATTCTTCGACCAAGTCTTGTGTATACCTCCGAGTATTTACGTGTTCGTCCTTAGGTGGAAGGGAGCGGGTCGTAAACAGAGCGGCCGAATTAATTCCGCGTTCCACGAAGTTCCGCACAGACGTCACGCTGCCGATGTCGCGGAATTCCCGTGGACACATGGCCGCGAGGCAAGAATATACTAAACAAGCCCAGCGTTGTCTATAATCGTCTTTATTTATCTCGATACGCTGCCTCGGACAGGGCTCGCCCTTGCCCCCCGCGGATCGGGGTATCGCAGGAAAGCAACGGGTTGGGGAATTTTTATTCCGTTTTATTCCATACGTACCATTCTGATACTTTTGCCGCGAAACTACCGCAATTCTGTGTTCCAATTCCGGCGTCCATAAAAGAAGTGCTAACTTCTTGTAGGGTGCGCGAGTGGGTGGCCGCGGAGGGGCGGCTGGGAAGTCGGGGGTGCAAGGCCGGCTGATCTGGATGTGACCCGCATAGAAATTGGAATATATACGTCCGGGGCTTTCTAAGATGCTCGTGAAAGTAATAACGTTGATCGCCAGGAATTAATTGCTCCCCATTACTGATGTCGACTTTTCTCGATTAGCGTTCGTGACCGGCCGGTTTCTCGCGCGACTTCGCCCCGACTCGAGATCCAGCCGGGAGCAATTATCCGCCGGTAATTACCGGCTAATAAACATTTACCGTGAGCCCCGACGAAACGTTATAGCTCAATTAAAAATTTATAACTCGGCCGCCAGCTTGACAAAGCCGCCGCTAGATCGGAGAAGGAGAAAAGGGGTTGCGGAGGGGCCGGGGGCGCGAGGGGGTGGGAAAAAAAAAAATGTTGGCCAGCAGCCAGGACTTTGTAGTCGCTACTCGAACGACATTCCTGCCAGAATCTTTCTTCGTTCCAGCGAAATCCCTTACGTCGTGCTTCAACGTTGCGTATCGCCTGGTGTAACCGTATCGCGTTCCATCGCCGTGTAAGTGCCCTCTATTCCGTCTCAGGATCGCGCCGTGTGTTCGCCCGTTCTCGATACGCGTCTCGTTGTTCTCCCCGACCCTCTCGCCTGCTCCTTGACTCCGCGGAGGAAACGATAGCTCGACGACGGGACTCGTCCGCTGGGAAAAAATGATTTCGCCGGGAACACGTATCCGCGAGTTCTTCGTCGTCGACGAGTAAACCGAATCCGTCGAGTGGCCGTATTCGTAGATAGGGGGAGCCCTTAACTGCGCGCACTTAGCACGTACCGGCTGTAGCTGGATTACAATGAGAGAAGCCCGTTGTTACGGGCATGCCGCGGCTGTACACGTCGCTGTTCAGTTTCGGAACGGAGCCCATCAGCGTGCTCTCGTCGGATAGGCAGGAACGTTGAAAAGTTCTAGACGAGTCCTTTAGGATGGTAGAATTCGAAGAGCGCTCGAACCACCCCGCACCGGCTATGTACGCCTCGTACATAGGGTTTCTTTTTCGACCGGTGTTTACTGTCGCACAGCCGCTCCAATTTTCTCGTTATTGCTGTAAGTCGAGTACGGCAATTTCATCCATGCGATCGCGGCCAGGCTCTGATTACAAATTGCGCCCGCATTGATTTTGCATCGCGAAATTCAACCCCTTCCACGTCTTCCGTTGTTACATGTTCGTTGTTAGACCTCGTCGTGCTTTTTTCTTACCCTCCTTTTTCGTTTTCCCTTTGTTGCTTCGGGTAGCATTGCAATTTCGAGGTTAAAATGTCGGTAGGGAGCCGAGTAGCGTGGATCGTGGATAAAGTTGACGTACTGGGTACTCGGGACATGTCTGTTCGTCTCTAGAAGGTTGTAATTTTGAGGCTAAAATGGGGATAGGTATTTGTGCCTATGATTATGAAAGTGGTCTAAGTCACTTATATTTGCTTCTGATATATTAAAAGCTTCGGCCTTTAAATACGTCATAAATTATAAAATTAATTGCGATGAAGCTATAAACTCAATCTAGGGATTCAATTCTTCACTGTTTTGTAGAAAGTGAATACGTTTTATCGTAACAGAAATGAATGCAAGACGAAGTAAATAATAAAATTGTTCCTCTTAAGTCGATGACTTAGACCACTTTTATAATTATAGGCACATTTGAGTTAGTGTATGGATAGATAACGTGGATGATGTCACTCGATTGAAGATTCTTGATAAAACTGGTGGCTATTTGTTCAGAGACCTGGTATTCGTGATATTCCTGTCACTTTTGGGGTGTAAAATAGCGATAAGTACCTGAGCTACGTGGTCTATGAATGATGTCAGTTGAAGGGAGACTTTTGGTAGAACTTGGTATTCGTGACACCTGTGTTATTTTTGAGAAAATTACGATTTGGAAGCTAAAATGGCGATAGGTATTTGAGTTGCGTGAATCGTGGATGGCGTCACTCGAATGAAGGTTCTTGATAAAATTGGTAACTATTTGTTCAGAGCCTTGGTATTCGTGATGTTCCTGTCACTTTTGACAAGAGTCCGCTTTGAGGTGTAAAATAGAGATAAATATCTGAGCTACGTGATCTATGAATGGTGTCAGTGGAAGGAAGACTTTTGGTAGAACTTGGTACTCGTGACACCTGTGTTATTTTTGAGAAAATTACGATTTGGAAGCTAAAATGGCGATAGGTATTTGAATTGCGTGAATCGTGGATGACGTCACTCGAATGGAGGTTCCTGATAAAATTGGTAACTATTTGTTCAGAGACTTGGTATTCGTGATGCTTCTGTCACTTTTGAGGTGCAAAATAGATATAAGTTCCTGAGCTACGTGATCTATGAATGGTGTCAGTTGAAGGAAGACTTTTGGTAGAACTTGGTACTCGTGACACCTGTGTTATTTTTGAGAAAATTACGATTTGGAAGCTAAAATGGCGACAGGTATTTGAGTTATATGGATCCTGGATGATGTCACAGGAACGGAAACTGTTGACAGAACTATTTGTCCAAGGAACTAAGTGCGAAAACTCTGTAACAAAATCGAAATGTGGGATTAAGTTCGAACGTGCATATAATTTTCAAGCTTATGCATGGTGAGCTAGGAGAGAAGCAATTTCCAGCTATTGACCATCGCATTTACCTTTTATCCGGGACACGTTATAGTCGTTAAGGTTGTGTTCCGTAACTAAGAATAGCTCCGATATTGTTACAACGAAGGTAAAGATCGTTTATTCGACATGATATACAATGAAAGTTTAGAAAAGATGGGAAGAAAAGTCGGGGACTTTATCGTGAGACAATATATTTAGACCTGGTATTCGCAGTAAGAGGATATTCACTGGCTTTCTGTAAATTTACTTTCCTATAAACGCGAGTTTTGTTTACGTTTTTGCACAAAGACGTTAAACGATCGCTGCGTCTCTGAGATCTCGCGAGATTTACTTTGGTTAGGTTCGATGTTCCGTTGGATATATAGGATCTAAATTCCTGTATTTATCCTTCTTGCCAATCGTCTACAACGTTGGCAGTGTATTTTGGGTAAACCTTAAGGGACAGTTTTAATGTCGTTATTTAGTATTTTACCAACGTTATTTAAACGTTTTACTCAGCGTTTTCTTTCCTCGGATAGCTTCTCGGTAAAATGTTCCTCGCTGCAGAAGTAATCTAAAAATTTAATCAACTATTTCCTATTTCTCTTTTAATTAACATCGAAGATAAATAGTTTTGCTACGTAGCTTGCTATTTTACAAAAATTTATGTCTCTAAAAAATCATTCCTATTAGTATTTAATCTCGTCATACGCATTAAAATTATTGAAAAATTGATTAATTACTTGTGAAATTATTTTTAATGATAATAAATTTGTATTAATCAGGCGAAACAAATTTCTATAAAAAAGACTTCCAATTTAATAAAATGTAATCAGTAAGTGCACTAAATAAATATCTTCGAGTACGTAAATAATTGTGCAATATATATTTAATAATCCAAATATAAGAATAAATTAATTAATATATCACTGAAACTACAAAACCAGACAAAATAACTGGTATCAGATATTCAATTTCTGCAATTGCTTTTGACAGAATTAATTTTGTTCTTTATTTAGCTACAAATGTTACCTTTATTACAACACGTGTGTAATATATTTAACTGTATATTGCACGAAGATTAGCACTAAAGCTACCGACCTATAGTGAGTAATTAAATATACTACACAGGAAAGATAATAATTATAGTGATATTACGAAAATAAATTGGTAAACATAAGCAAGCTTCCACCTGAATAAAACTTAAAATTAATCTGATCAAAAGCAAAAGTAATTACAGAAATTAAATATTTCACGTAAGTAATTTGACTATACTATTCTAGTATATCATATCCATATGTATGCATTATATTTCCAAAATGCAATTAATTCTCTATTTACAATAATAATTGACCAAAACCAAATTCAAAGGTTCATATCCAGCTACGAAATTAACCCTTGACAAATGTTGAGAAATTTGGTCAAAAGCAGAAGGAATTACAAGTCATTAGACTATACTATTCTACTATACCATATCGATATATATGCATTGTATTTCCAAAATGCACATGAAATTTTCGCCGCAATAATAATCCAC